CCAACGTATAAGTTCAATGTACAACTTTTTTTTAAAATTACACTAACCAACGTTACTATTTCATTTGATCTTCAGTTTAAATCATTGTGAGCTTTCTAATATATAACAGATTTTGCGCTAATTCATGTGAGGGAATTTGTGGCATTTTGTTGCTCAGACGAGTGCTGGAATTTAAATATATTACGCTTTAGAACTTTGAATGTGTTAAAGCTAAAAGATTCTCACCACTGGCCATTTAAATACTCACAACTACAAGGTGACTCATCAATTTATACTCTAATAAATTATCAGTGCACAACCCTCTTGAAGTCATCGTTGCTGAAGGGAACATTCTTCTCCGCCTCCAGATCATCGTGGGCGCGTAAGCATGCAACCGACACTGTGACTCCTTACGATGAAATCCGTGACTTTTTATCGCTTGGTATGGTACAGCGGAGTCCCCACTTGATTATTCGGAATTATACAGAGGGAGCGGCTGCAGCCTTGAGGGTTCACTTCTAATGGAACACTAAATTTTGCGTGTCCGCCCCCCCCCCACCCTCTCTACGCCCTTCATTCCCCCCTCCACAGCCACTTACGGAGACCAGGGCGAAATGTACAGTGGGACGGACTACTATTCAGCAGGATAGTTGGAATGATGACAACTGCTAAAACAGCACACACTTGCATTGTTGCCTCGACGCTACAATATAATAATATAAAGCAGAGCCTTTCAATAGACGACGAGCGGACCACATCAGGCAGACGTACGTTTTTTTTCTGTGGATCTGGTCATAAAACTATGTACGAAAAAGCAATAAAAATGAGAAAATGCGCCGCCGTGTCACTGCCCTGAGGAAGCCTGCGACATGTCAGGCGAAACGTCGGCCTCTCAGCCAACGACGCGGTGTCTCCCGGATGGCCACGAATGAACCGCGGAAGTTTACGTGTGCAATAAAAATTAGATTGATGTGAAAAATAAACTTTTTTTTGAAATTTTCTCTGTACCGTAAGACTATTATTCGTGCGAAGAACAAGAAAAGTAAGTTGTACTTTCCTGTTAATTTTTCTTGATCATTTTAAACAAATTTCTATAAATGTTCTGTGAATATTTGTATTTCTTTTGAAATTGCGAAGTGGTGTAGAAAAGAAGTGTAAAATTGCTAATTGCGAAGTGGTATAGAAAAATAATACTAATATGATAAACAACCAATAACATTTTGTGAATAAAAAATAACACAGTTTTTTTCAAGTGATGAAGAATATAAAATATATTTTATGAATTTCGTGTTCATAAATGATAAGCAAAAAATTTATATATATGTGAACACATATCTTCAAATGAAACTGAATAAGGTTCCTTTTATCTTTCTAGAAAAGGTCTTTGGTTGAAGGAGCTTGCAAAATGCTGACAACATGGGAGGAAACTTGGACAACATGGAAGGATGAAGTCTTCTGCATGAAAGATGATGATTACAATAGAAAGAAAAAAAGACGGAATAACTTCTTCCGAGCAATATTTGCTAAATTGTCCATGCCATGTTAATTTAGTAGTCGGCAAAACCACCCTTTCTTTCCCTGCCTTTCCCCTTTCTTCATCCTCCCTATTCCTTTATTATCATGACTTCATTTTCTAGTATATTTACAATAGTTAAGTCTGCAAACCGCTCAAATTGAAGCGCAGAACTCTTCATGAATAAACAATAACCACAAACGATGTTTGAAAAGACAACTGCAGAAAGCTCACACGACGGTAAATATTTACATTCGTTGAATTATAACGAATCTGTTCTTTGATAACCTTTAATATTTTCATCATGTTTTATGAATTTCTTGTCGCAATTGCACGACAATACAATTTGTTACAGAAAAATATTATGAAAATGTCAAGTATCCATTATGGAGTGCACAGGTACTTCACAGCCACCTGACAAACTAAAAAAAGCAACAAATAAACAAGCTAAAAAACAGGGGTGGGGGAAGGTGGAGGGAGAGCAGAGACGAAAGGGAGGGTTGGGCGGAGGAGGGTAAGCAGAGCGGAGGCGGGTGTGGACTCAAGTGGTAGCGGGTGTGAGGTGGAATGGAGGCTGGATGGGACGTGAGGTTTAACGGGTAAGTTCGAGGGAGCCCCATTGGTAGAGGAGGCGGGAACAACATCAATGGCGAGAGCGGGGACGGGTTTGGGTGCCGTGGAGTGGAGTGGGATGAGACGGGATGTGGAGCGAGATGAAGTGGGGTCGGGTGGAGGCCGGTTGAAAAGGAAGCAGGTTGAGGTAGAGAGGCGGGGTAGATCAGAAGAGGTCGGGCTGAGGCCTGATGAGAGAAAGGTCGCATTGGGGTGCTATGGCGACGGAACTAAGGACATTGGAGCGAGGCGGGTTGGAGGTGGAGACGGGCCGAAGACAGAAGCAGACAATGGTCGGAGACAGTTGTCGCAGATAATGGTCAATAGATGTGCCTAATGATCTAAGGTAGAGAACCGTCGCACATAACGATCGAAGTTAGAGAATGGTTGGACACAATGGTCAATAGATAACCTAGATAATGATTGACGGTAGAGAATGGTCGGGGACAATGGTCGCAGATAATGATCAATATGTAGAGGTAATGATCGGAGGTGGCGACGGTCGGAGGCGGAGAATGGACGAGACAATTGTCGGAGGAACAGAATGGTAGGAGGCAGAATGGTCAGTAACAGAGTGATCGGAGGCAGAATGATCGGAGACAGAGAGTAATCGCAAGTGGAGGTGGCGGGGTGGTTCGAAGGCAAAGGCAAAACAGAGAGCGGAGTCGGGTCGGTGGCGGAGACAGCCCTGAGGCGGTGGTTGGCTGGAGCAGATTTGAGAGGGAGGCGGGCCTGGGGGAGAGTGGGCGTAGACGGGAGCGAGTGACGACATGCAACCAGTCACGTTTTTCCTTCTGCGTAATGGAGCGCAGAAGCCCTAATTAGGGCCAGGGAACGTTCGCTCGCCAGGAGCAATGTAAGAGCTTCTTGCCTGGCCCACGCGACGGCTGCGGGAGAGTTGTCAGCGCTCTTGTTTAGGGATCACGCAGCACCGACAACGCGACGGATGCCAGGTGTCGTCATGGCGGGAGATTTTGCTGCAGTATGGAATGCGCAGAAGGGGGTTATTATATAAGAAATAACGCACGCCTTCTTTTTAAGGAATTGTTTAAGAAATACGCCTACAAAATCATAAATTTTGTCTTTTTCACCTCGTAGTAGAATGTAAAAAAATAATTATCTTCCCTCTCAAACACCCCTCTCGCAATAAAATATGTATACTACAACCACTCCCTCCCGCCTGTTATCTTTCTCCTTGGGTGACTTATTCATCGGTTGTTCGTTTGACCCCAATAATTGTTCATTTAACTATTATTGAAACGACTACACTACTTTTCTAGCGTTATTTGTAAAGATTACAAATATTACTATTAGGAAGCGGATTTTTATGACCTAAAACACCACCAAAAATGACCAATGAAATACTCTTAAAATTTTTTAAACTGCCCTAAAAACAAAAATAAATGACGTAAAAAAATTGATCAAAATCACGTCAGATGAATAACTCATGCTGTTGGATATGTTCCTGATGCAATGAAGACTTTTTCCTTTCGTTTAAGAGAACTCATCTTGCAAACTTTTGATTTGGATTGAGCCACGAAATCTGTCTTTAGTTATGGTGAAATCTACCGAACCGACAATGATGCCGATAGGCGTCACAGGAACCTTAAATTACATACTCACGACGGATGACATTGCAATTTAGAAGCGAAGAAATCAAATAGGCCACTCAGAAATTCTGTAGAGAACATTTGTTGCATCTCTTAAATATTATTTGAAGCAAATACCATCAAAATGATATTACAATCAATTAAATCATAAAAAAGCATTAATAATGACGAAAAAAGTTAAAAAATGACTAACAAGTTGAAACTGAAGAAAAATGCAAAAAACAGACATATAAAAATACGTCATTTCCTTTTGTCATAACTTTAAATTATTACTTAAATCAAAGGCATTGTTCTTAAGTGAAAAAAATTTCATTAAAATCCCTCCTCTAATTATAACACTATTTGCACCCGGAAAGGGTTCCATACTGCAAAAATATTTACCTACGCTGGAATTCGAGTGCTAAAGTTGAGCATGATCTCTACATTAATCGCCTGAATCGACAACAACCTTACTCATGCATTAAAAAGATAGCTGAACATTTAAAATGTTTGAAGTTCACAGTTTTAATGAAAATCGGATTACTTCAAGTAAAACATGGGAAGATTAAAGATTTGACGAAAAACCTGCTTTCGAGAATTTTAAAATAGTGGTTACTCTATTAAATAGTGGTTACATTGTAATTAAAATTGTCTGAAACATCGAACTAAAAATAAAGTAACTCTCTCCGAAAAATTTAAAATATTCTTACATGTTTTTAGGCTTGTAAAAAATAATAATACGCAATGTCCCCTTGTTCTTTATTGATTTGCTCACTTCGCAATAACACTTTCTTTTGAAATTCATACCGACTCTTTTCTAATAACATCTTGAAATAAAGTTACTTATTATGAAAATTAATTAAATATAACGACCTACTTACAATAGATTACACTACAAGAAATTACATTTTAGTGACGTTATTCAATCAGGTTAAACGTTCTTGGAATTCAAACAAGAAGAAGATATGTACAATTAAATAGCTCCATGTTTTCTTTCAAATTAAACACCATGAAATATTTTATTAAATTATGAGAGTAGAGGTTTTTATCAACCAATAACCTACTACAGAGATCTAATTTTAATTGGTTTAGTGAACATTAATACCGTATAAGTAGAACCCCCCTTCTTTAAGCAGGTCTACAGTGAAAATCAGTTAGGAGAACGTGGTCAATAACTATTGCTGACCTTGACTTAAATTCACCGTTATAAATGGAGCAAATGTGAATCAGTAGCCGGTTCACAATAGAATTGCTACAAAATGTCTACTCACTTGTCTTTTTCGGATGGAAGGAAAGTGGAAACGAACCTTAATTCCACGTTTTTTCCGATGTCATGGACAGGAATTCTCTTCTTTCCGATCGACGAAAAAAGCCATCGTTGCATTCCTTCAGAATAAGAGTTTACGTCCCCTCTGAAGAAACAACATCTAATTCCTATTTTAGCGTAATAGGAGGCGTAATAGGAGGCGTATTGTAGAAAATAAAGAACGAAGTCACATTCAATGAAAAATAAAACAAATCTCTGGGCTACTTCATACAGAAACGTTCGTTGGCCACCGAACTTCACTTTTGTGACGGTCATAGGCCACTCCTCACCAGAACTCGCCTCGATGCCCAGAGAGTGCAAAACACTCCAATACCATGGCAATGACATTTCTTAGCACCGCACGGAACGTCTACTAGCTTGAGACTCATTGCCGCGTAATTTGAAACGGCCTTTCTTGCACTTCGACCTGCAACATTCTATCCCCGACGAAAAGAGGAGATTACAATACGCTGTAAAAGATAGTGTTACCATAAGTTTATATTCAGATGTTTCAACATTTTAAAATTTTTTAAAAGTGTTTTTGGAGACTTTGCATGTTTGTTGTACCTATAAGTTGCCAAATAAAACGTTTAGTTTAAAAGTGTATTCACAATCCTTAATTATTTCCGTTCCACCGCCCTTTAAATTTTTTTAACCGAGTCACTATTTCTTAACCGACATGAGACGGTTACAATACGCTGTAAAAGAAAGTATTGCCATGAGTGTATTTTTTTAGATGTTTCTAGATCTTAATATTATTTTTAAGAAGTGTTTTGAGACTTTTCATGTTTATTCTTCCCTTAAGTTGCCAATGAAACGCTTAGTTTAGTAGTGTATTCACAATTCTCAATTAATTCCGTTCCACCGCCCATTAGACCGACCGAGTCACCTATAGTAGCGTGTACGTATATACTGAACGATTTCAAACGATACAACATAGTTAAGATTTGAAAGGTGTTTCCAATATAATAATCTTCATTTTTCATAGTGCAGTTCAATATTACGTACAGTTGAATAGGGAGCGAAGGCCACTCCGAGAAATGATATTCTCATGCTAATTTCAATTTAAATCGTCTACGAGTTACAATTTGTTTCTCCCAAACCGATTTCATGTTTGTATAAATTTACCTACAATCATTACGTTCTTCGTTTTTTGCACATCAGGGACACCGATAAAAGGCATTTCTTCCAAGAACATCCTACAATATGAGAACTAAATATTAGAACTGAAAGGGACGTATCGGGGAGGGGGGTTTAAGAAACAGAACTTCATTGTTTTGTGGATCATGCTGTCCAGTTAAATGCTGGGGTCAAACGCGTATAACACACTGCACAATTTACAGAGATATAAACACAATTTGTATAGGGTATTGTTAATAGTGGTTTTGAGACATGTATAATTACTTTTTTAATATTTAAAAACTTTTTCATTTAAAGTTATTTATGAAATGCTACAGTTCTGTGTTCTACCCGTAAAATTAGTATTTCGAACATGTATACATAATGCATAACGTGACCATCACAACATTTGGATTACAAATTGAGACGATGAAAATGTTTCATATTTTAGACAACTAATTACTTGATTTTCATATCGATGCACTAATTTGTATTTGTATGATCTTGTACGAGTATTTATACAAACTCCGTCTACGGAAGCGTATGCAATCATATCAATTTGTATTCGTGTTTCTTAAATAATGTATACAACGCGTTCTTGCCATTCAATTTTTCTTGCCTAATTTACTCACCGCAAACCTGTTACATAATTATGTTACGAAATTAAAACTGAATCCTGAATAGGTTTAGCAATAAACATAAGAGCATGCCTGAACATTTTTTGACAATCACTTACAAATGACTGCTTAAGAATCGACTCCACTGTTTGCGTTCTTGAATGACGCCGTACTCCGCCTTCGTTCTTTAACAGTCCACTGAGGAACAAAGACGGAGCAATGAAAAACCAGTCCGCTCTCAGAGATGATTTAGGAAGTGCCGAGCGAGTGAGAAACAAGTTTTCATACGCCTCTTCTCTGGGTCAAGCAAACCGGTTTAACCCCGGAAGACAACCCTCGAAAATAGAATGGGCGAGGTCGTGAGAGACGTGCTTGACAGAAGAATTCATAAAATTGTTAAATAAACAAATATATAAATAGTTTACCGGAAAATAAGTGTACATGCGAAAAAAGGGTGAAATAAATTTGTCGTCCACCTTGAAAGCATTTTTTGTTTTAATTATTAGGTATGAGGAGTTACTCTAAGAAGGAACCACAGGTCAGGAAACAAATGAATGCCATGCAGGGCGCAGACATTTCAAAAGATAGTGATGAAGCCATTAACAAATGAGCTAACTATAAAGGAATGCACTGCCAAAATGCGACCATGGACATATACTGCAGTTATGCTTCCAGCAGTGGCCAAGCAGTAGTGTCAAAGCGGCTCCTTTTTCTAGTAATCCCTCTGTATGTGTCGTCGTAAATGGAGAGTGCTTTTTTCTCTTTTAATTTTCATGTACACACATCAAATGACGAGAAAATGTTTCTCGAAAACACAATTAACATCTGAGTTGACATTATCCACGAATAAGACTACGCAAAATAAAATTATAAGTGTGTAAATTGAATTACGTAATGTGTGAAACATCTGCGTATACCCTTCGAATTAGGAACTTAAATCAGGCTTTAAAGGATGTGCTGTGAGTTCGAGCTTTAAAAAATCAATCTTTTAACAGGTTACAACAGTTTGCCAACTAAATTGTCCTTTCGTATCTGTGATCATGAGAATTGCGTAAGTACTTCAAGTTGTAGATTTCAATTAAAATTTATAACTATCTTGTTAGAGCTGTGAGCCCAATTATACAAATGTTTTTTTTGTTTGTTTTTTTTTTAAATTTGGAAAACACGTTTTAAAAAAGTGTTAAATAAAATTAAGTTAAAAAATTATGTATACTGTACTTCTTTCACTTTCTTCTTTCTAAGTAATTTCCAATTAGCATCTAATCCAAGATATAATTACTTCCTAAATAAAACTTAGTATCTTTCTGTTTACTGCGATTTTTTCATTAATACTTATGTCTGCAATACTATGATATGTCATATGTACTTTGATTGCGACCCATATAAACTACCGGTAAAGTAAAAAAATAGCAATAAAAATGGGAAGACACAACGATTTTAACCAAAACGTTATTCTTGAGCAACTCTTTAAACACAATAGTTTGTGTTATGTTTTTATTAATCTATTAACACACGCGAATTGAGATGGCATTGAAGAATAATATTAAAAATGTCCGTTTCCCTTTAATTAAATGTTTCTTTTTGTATTTTCAGTACAAAACTGTTTTACAATATAGTTCTAAAATAATAGTTTAGAAATGCTGAAATATTCTTATTTTATACACGATATATTCAACAATAAACTAGGGTGCACCAACAGAATTACACATGATTCCATTTAAAGCATTTTAGAATTTAAACAAATGCATACACCTTATGGTGTGATTGCCATAAATTTTACAAACAAGTTGACACATATCCTTATCTCATTTTCAACAATCATGTTCAATTTTTTAGAAAAATGTTTTATTATTCATATAAAATTGCTACACAACGTTTCGCGTAAAAGAATTGCGGGAAACGTGTTTCAATTTTATAATAAACATTGATAGTGGAACAATTATAAAAGGATACTTGTGTCAACATTTTAGAATTCATAATTGTTTTGTTAGTCTGGATTACACAACAGCTTACATTTCGAGTTTCTGCTTTTTAACATTTCGTTATTTTGGTTAAGTTTAAGCGCAAACACCTTATTAAAAATGTACATGTGATTGAATCAAGAGTGATGAAACCTTTTTAAAGCAAGTACATTAACAGGTAGTAGTATATTAGGAGGTTATTTCTTTAATAAAATGTATTTTTTCATTTCATAAATTTGTGAGACTATTGATGCGTGACAGGAATTCATTCAATGTTATTAGGTGCTTAAAAATATATTGCTTTCAAATTGATAATTAGTTGGCAACGAACAAAAAAAACCATTGCACCCAATAGTTTAGTTGTTTTTGTTGGATTTTATTTGTCGTATGTTGTTTCTTGACCAAAACATTTTTGGGATAAGTGCGGGAGCATTAGCGTTTTATTAATTACTTGATGCAACAGTTGCCAAAATCGCTCGTTGTTATTTTAATTCACAACTGATGCACGTACGGCAAAAGAAAGCGGACAAATACTTTGACAAATACTATAGAGACAATACATGGCACCCTGCGATATAACGGGAGACATTTGAATCTAGTGCCCCTAGTGGTCCGTCCTATTATAACCATTGTGATAACCAGTACGAAATGTAGCTTTGAAACTTTTTTAGCTTACGATTACGTTTGCTTACTTTTTACAGAGTGATTAAAATATTTCATTTGGTCGTTAGTAACATTTTTATATGTCTGAAAAGGTGTGACCTGTATCTTAATTAGACAACTTCAATGAAATTTACGAGAATATTTTCTTTTCTATTTCCCTGTGGTGAGACGTTGTCACGAAGTCTATAAATTCTTACAGACTTCGTGCTGTAATTTCGAAAATATAAAATTTAGTATATAAGTATAAAAGAAAAAATACATAATAATAATAATAATTCTAATAATTAATAAAAGAACAATTCTGAAAATAATTCAAGTTGAGAAGTCCAGATTCCAAAAATCTAAAAGAGGGGCAAAAGTGTTAGAAGAGAGAAAAAAGGAACATCTGAAATAATGAAGGATTATTGGATGAAACGTAACGAAAAACAACATAATAAGTAATTGATCTAACCTACCCCAAAGTGGGGGGTGATCCAAAATAATAATAATAATAATAATAATAATAATAATAATAATAAGAAGAAGAAGAAGAAGAAGAAGATGAAGAAGAAGAGGTTTATTAGAAACCACACAAATCTACATTGTTTTGTTTATGTCCTGAAATTTCAATTTGTCGCTGATTTTCTAATTCGCGTCACCAGGTTCGCTAGTGGGCAGTTGTCTTCCATTAATAGTAAGAGAAAGGTTCAAAGTGCCCTATAGTATTTGCTTCCAGTGCTGAAGACAGCGTGCGCGTAACACGGGGGTGCTGTGGCATGGCCAGCGCCCAGCGCCCCCTGCAACCCGCCTGGTGCTCCGCTAGGGCTTGCAGGGGGCCTGGAACGCCGGCGAAGGGGGAGGGGAGGGGAGGGGAGAGCGAGCGGCCAGGCGCCGCCGAGTCGATACGGCTCCACCGCCTCCGCCACCCACCCGGTCGCCATGGCGACGCCGCCCCCGCCCGCGCCAGCGCGCCCCCGGTCAGCCACGACTCCGCCCCCGCCTTCGCCCTCGCCGCCGCCTCCATCACGCACCCACAAGAAGGCTCTACGCGAGTTTATCACGCGCGCGATGAGCGCAGGCACAAAGGCTGGAAGCTGCTGAGCAAACTTAAATTGGTTCAATTGGGCGGAAACGTACGTGTGTACATTAATTCACTCTGGTACTGGATCATCTCGCGCTCAGTACAGAATAATTCGGAAAGACCAAAACTACGGAGAGGAAATTTGAATTGGCTGAATTGGTCGGGAACGCATACGTGGACATCACGATATTGTAGAACTGGATCATCTCAGAAAAGAATAATTCAGAAAGACCATAAGTAGAAGAGGAAACTTTAATGGCTCAATTGGTTGGGAATACATGTATGCACATAGTGACATTGAAGTGCAGGATCATCTAGCGCTCAGAAAATAATAATTCAGAAAGACCAGAAGTAGGAGACGAAACTTGAATTGGTTCAATTGGTTGGGAATGCATGTATGCACAACGTGACATTGTAGTGCAGGATCATCTCGAGATCAGTAAAGAATAAGAAAGACCAGCTTTAGGAGAGGAAACTTAAATTGCTTCATTTGATTGGGAACGCTTGTATACAAGAAGCCAGAAACACTAGAAGTAGGAGAGAAATCTCACAGTGGTTCCATTGTTTGGAAACGCATGTATACGCATCTACAAGAAATCAGAAAGACCAGAAGCAAGAAACTAAAATTTGTTCAATTGGTCAGAAACGCATATGTATACATCACGACATTGTAGTACTGGATCATCTCGTGTTCAGTAAAGAATAAGTCAGTACGATTGTCGTACGAGAGGACACTTAAATTGGTTGAATTGGTTGGGTACGCTGTGTGTACATCAAGAGATAATATACATTAGTTCTTGTCTCTCATCTAAGCGCTGTATAGGATTTTTCGATTCTATCTATTAACTAACTTTTCCAACTTTTCGATAAATACATTTATACATATTTTTTTCTTTAATCTTGAGTTTTGAAAGTTAAGTAAAAATTCAAGTAGCGCCCCCAAGGTACCATGTAGTAAATTGCATGTCACTTAAAAATAAACACTTTAAGTTACATAAAAATAAATATTTTCGTCGAAACAAATATTACACATTTCGTTCAATTTTCAATGAAGAAATGAATATTTAGAGTATTTTCAACATTAATACTCGAGTTTTTAGATATGTGAAATACAGTTTGTAAAGCAATTGTTGGTCACACATCACATGTTAGTGTGGGACTTCTCGTATTGAGTCTTGGAGTGCGTTTGGTTCACGACCTGCCAAAACGTCGATTCAGGCAATACTGAGCGAGAACGTCAACTCATAATAGGAGTAGATACGAAATTTCCTTAGATTGCACTGACGAAATGTGCAGAGTAATACATTTGATGACGTCACATTTTATATTGAGACTTCTCTCGATCTTGGTTACGTGTTTTCATGAGGGTAATAAATAAATATTTTCGTTGTTTTAAGGTTTTCAGTTTTCAAGCATTTAAATAATAAATACTTCCCTTTTTTAGCACCTAAAAGTCCAAGCCGTACTATTAACACTTCAGTAAAAGTAGTAGGCTATAGTTAAAGGAAAAATATGATTGTTAAAAAAAGACTGCGACACTACGTGCGATACATTTTTTAAACGGCCCTATTCACGTTGCATGCGTAGTACATATGATAAACCTCAATTGTTTAAATGAAATCACGTACGTACAAGAAAGATCTAGGAACGAGGAAGTCTACAACAGAAGAACAGAAGTAGTCCGAAAGACCATAAGCAGGAGAGAAAACTTAAATTGGTTCAATTGCTTGGGAACTCATTTACACAAGGACAGAAAAGTGTTTGAACTTCTCACGCTCAGCATGGAAGAAGTCAGCAAGATTAGAAGGAAGAAGCCAACCTTGGATTTTTTTTGTTTTGTTTTGTTTTGACAACATGTACTGTATGTGCACATCAATAGATTGCAATACTTGCGACTTCTAATACAAACGCTGAATACAATTTTTCGTTTCTATTAGCAGTTTAATAATTGTAATTGGATTATGGTTGAAGGGAAATATAAGATTGTTAAAATAAACCGATAGACAAGTGCAATGACTATTTTTCAAATATTGCTAATCTTGCGATTTTTAAAATTAATTTGTATTTATTTATGTTAAACGTTTACTCATCTTTCAACTATTTATAGTTAAAATGATGGAAGGGATTCTGGAACTCAAGAAAACGTACGCAGATAATTTTTTCACATAGTCACCCTTTCCCCCTTACGTCTCATACAGAAACGTAGTATGTGCACACGTCTCGAAATAGCAGTTCTTACACGTCTAACTGAACTGCTGTGTATGCCCTGTAATATCGGTTAACAATTAAATTATTAACGTAGAACAAACAGTAAAGTATAAATAAGATAATACCAACAACAAAAGAAATACAGTAAGAGACTTGCATGTAAAACGAATATTTAATCATTTACGAAAACCAAGATTCTTTGGGTGAAGAGGGACTTTAGGTGTAGTGTGCAGCAGTCTTGATATTTTCGTCAGTTGTGATGAATAATTTTCATCGGGTTCAGGGGATAAAACTCTATGGACATTTCCTTCTCCATTGGTGCGCCACAGTGTATGTTGCGAGATGTATCACTTTAAGTGTTCGATAGGAACCTTGCGTGTAACCTGCAGGATATGTAAGCTAATAGAATTCGCTTAGTTATTGAAAAAATTGAAAAATAATGCCATTCAATATCATTATAATAGCTACGAAGTACAGTTATATCACTTCTTAAATGACTCTGTTTGACTTATCAATGTGCGGAAATATTATTTTGTTCATATTATACATGTTAAATATAATTTTCTTTTCTATGGAGGGGAAATTTTACTTTGTTGGAATAATGAAAAGTCCAGGACAATTTGCGAGGAAAGAGATCTCTGCAATAGAAACCATTGCACCACACAACTCACAGACAATGTAGATCACCGATATTAAATATTTCTTTAAAAACGAGAGAATTTCAAGTACATTGAAAAGAACGTGACTTTATCTCTTGGTCGTCCTAAAAACAACTGCCTTTATTTTATATACAATTTTAGGAATCCATTCTGTCCTAGAAATTACACATTTTCAATTTGTATTATTCCTAGAAAAGCTCTTTCTCTCTCTACTGGGACAAGACATTAAAGACAACAATTCTTCAGCAATTTCTGACACAAAATTCGTCCTGAGAATTGAATGTTTACTTTAAAATCCTTTATTTAGGGTGAAGTAAACATGAAAAATTGGGAGTTAAAAACACATTTTGTAGCTGACCAATGAGAAATAATCATACGGATTTCGAAAAATAATAAAATTGAGTTTTATATCTTAAAGTTGAAAATAGAGAAGTGTAGTATTTTAGGAGAGTAAAAGTATTACACAACCTTTAGCTACGTAATTCTCATTCAAACTTCTTTCAACTTCGCGGCTTTTTCTCTCGTAAAGTACTCTACGTTACACGTTCCTACTTCGTTACTAAAATATATTAGGATATTCTCTGACATTTTACAACAATTACTCTGTTTCCTCTTGCTCGATATGAGTCTATTCAAGTTCAAGATTAGTAATTGTAAAATAAAAATTTGTAAAATAGGTTTACAAGAGTTTGTTTAGTTAATAATTGAGAATGATCACATGCCATTCTTTATTTATCGTAGTGTTTGGAATGCATAGAGGCGACACGTTGCCAATGATTCCAGGCGGATCAATCTCATCAGGGTTATCAATTGGCTCCACAAGTACAGTATATGCGCTGTAAACATGGTGATGTCGATCTCGTGGTTTCCTCAGACAAAATCAGGCCAATGACGGAGCAGCCGCTAGACCTAGGGACGTTTGATTCGTGAAAAAGAATCGATTCCCTAAGAAATTGAATCAAAAGAAAACACAGGTCAACGAAGGTATTGATACCAGATTCGAGCAATTACTATTTAATAAAACACATTTGTGTTAATTAACACAAGGTGTTAATTAAATTTTAATATCAATAATACTTAACTACGTGATCAAAAATATTACTGATGAAATGTATAATATTGAAATAAAGTAATAGAATGTATCAAGGAAACAATATATTAATAGAACAGTAATGAAAAATAAAATATATTATAACATCAATAATAGTGTGAACTAATCAAGGAAATTGTAATGGGTTTCAAGAATCATTTCACACAAAGCGACCCAGGGAAATCCCAGCGATCTGAGTAAAATATTTTTTTTTTATTAAGTTGCGATGCTTAATATTAATTTGAAACACGAAGTTTGTTTTGAACGAAACGAAAGGTGGAGACATTGTCGGAGATAGAATTCAAACATACCTTGGCCTCCTATAAAATTAATAACAAAGTAATAACTACATTAATAATGAAGACAAACGAGAAACCCCTGAAAAATACAAAAATTCAAACAACAACATTATAAATGATCGTAATAACTGTATATATGTTTTATTCAAAGTTTAGTATATTCACTCAAAGATGTATTTTTGTATTTAATGTATATAGGAACTGTACATTGATTAAAACACAAGCTCAAATAAGTGTACTTGTGCCCTGATGTAACTGGAAGAGACTGTTATGTTCATGTAATATATATTTTGTAAATAATAATTCCCCGGTTTGAAGAGCCGAACGGGCAGGAAATAAAATTTAAAAAAAATACCCTAGCGTTCACTGATTGAGGAATTACCCGATATGCGACAAGGATTTGCAAATCAGCAGCGATTTACTAGTACCAAAAGAAACTTACTTTTTAGTCATCTTTCAACTATTTATAGTGAAAACGACGGGAAGGGATTCTCAATAAAACGAGCGCAGATGATAATATCTCCTGTATGTCACACAGTTTTTACTGTTTTTTTTTGACTAAATAAATATAAATCTAAAATCTAGATAACTGATTGAGTATCCGGTGCCGACCTACGTGTCGGCTAGTAGATACTTCCCACCAGCGAGGCACCGCTCTCACCGGGTCAAGTTCCTGATTGGTCTCCCAACAAGAGTGGTAGTGTAGTGCAAATTAGTGTGTATGTACGTAAGGTGAAGACAGGCCAAGGAAGGGGAAGGAATGATCGTGGCCCGTTTGATAAGGTACTGCTCCGGCATTGATCTAGTGTTGATCGGGGAAACCACGGGAAACTGCCGATCAGAGCAGCTGGCGGCTAGAATTCTCCTCCAGACTGGCTGAATTCAACCTAGCTCTCTGGCTAGTGTCTAAAATCATTCCACTGTCGGGGAACGAACCCTAGGACCTGAATTGAATTGAATTGAATTGGCCTTATTTTACGTGGCGAGACTCAGGCCATTAGGCCTGCTTTCCCGTCTGACCACGCAAATTTCGCTACGCTTCTTTCAACAACTAGCAGAGGAATGAGGTATTTCTTGGGCGAGAAACAGGCGATTTGAATTTAGCTCAGAGGCGCCTTTTAGGCTTGAGGATCTTGTACATGCAAGTAAATCTACTAACATGGGACATCCGGCTTTACTTCCCCTCCGAAGAAAGGCGTACGAAGGATTTTTTGTCCCTTAAAAATCCACGGCTTCGATCGGGTTTGAACCCGCCAAAAGTCCGAAACGCTAACGGTTACACCATCGCCGCGCGCGGATCTGCGGATGAGAGGCACTTTGAGCTACTTGTCCCATAGGGGGGACAGCGAGGCGGTTGGGTCAGCGGGGGCAGCTGCACAGCGCCGTCGACGGGAGGCAACGGAGGCGGCGGGTGCATGTCCGGTGTGGGCGGGGCTCCGTGTGTGCCGAGACGGATCGACCGCGAGTGGGGCCCGTGGGTCCGGCGCAGCGGGCGGGCTGGAGGGGGGGGGAAGGGTCCAGGGCAGTGCGGCCGGAGGCGGCGCCGGGCGCCGGAATCGATCGCGCGGCGGGCGGCCATTCGCTGGCCGGCATCCGCCGCCGCGCCCGGCCATTGGTCCAGCGTGGACCCTCGCCTCCGCCTCGCCCCGCAGCGACGGACACCACACGGCGCGCCCGCCCCGCCGGCCGGCCGCTCTACCTCCGCCCTCTCTCGCGGTTGCGGACCTGACACGGCGCGGCATGGGCCCCTTCACACGGCGCCACTCAGCAGCGCCTCTGAATTGCACGGCTGTTGGAAAAGCGTTGGTTGAAATGAAAGTATTCGCGCGAGCAGCCCAGTGGCGAAGCTTAGAGCTTCTACACACGCAGGCGCCACTCAGCAGCGCGTTTGTTGAGAAGGCATTGATTTCAAAGAAGGTATTTTTTGCCAGCAGCTCAGTGGCTCTGCTTAGGAGCATCACGCTGCTCACACGGACGCGACACACTATAGCGTTTCCGGGTTGCACGTCTGTTAGTAAAGCGGTGGTTTAAATGTAGGTATTCTCGAAAGGGTCCAGTGGCACTCCCCAGTGGCACGTATGTCGGCAAAGCATTGGTTTCATTGAAGATATTCTTACGAGCAGCTCAATGGCGCTGATTAGGGTTCCTTCACATGGCGCCTCATGCCAGTGCGCACGAGTTGCACGTCTGTTGGAAATCATTGGTTTAAATGGAGGTATTCGCGCAAGTGGTTCGATGGCGCTGCTGCAGTCCCTTTGCATTGCTCAATTTAGAAACGCTGTCGAGTTGCATGGGTGTTGGTAAGCCATGGTTTAAAAAAAGAACGAGCATTGGCGCTCTCGTGGTGCTGCACGCACGCTCACTATTGTTCGATTTAAATATAATGATCTATAATGATCATTAGCTGTGTCGCGGTTTTCCAATTGGGAGCTTCAGTACCACAAATTAACGTCATTTTGAAGCCCCTGACTTAATAACCACATACAGCAGATGAGCTGTCATAACGTCATTTAAATCTATCACGACATTTACATTGAATAATGGCTCGCCTCAGCACCATCTCACATGCCTCCATCTTCCCCGGCCGCAACCCGTCAGTGTTGTCACGTAGATGCCTATTTGATGTACTAGAAACTGTTAGATTAACGAGTTGTTATTCCAGAGAGTTCGCCAGCTCAAATTTGAAAAAAATACCGTGGATTTTTTGAGGGCAAAAAATGCTTCTTACATCTTCCTTTAGAGGAGAAGTAAATTTGATTGTCCCTTGCTGTAGATTTACGGTTTCCTAAAACCTACGAGATCCTCAAGCTTATAAAGAACTTCTTAGCTAAATTATATTGGCATATTGCGTCGCCTGAGAGATCACTTAATTCGCTTCAAGATGGCGAAAGAACCGTGGCGAAATCTGAATAGTCATGCACAAGAGCAGGTCTCATGTGCATGTGTTGTTTGTGAATAATGAAAGTTGTGAATGTTACAATTTGAAATATTAAGTGATGGCTCATGTCACCTAACATGTACTAGCACGAAGCGATCGCTGTTCATTAATCCTTAATCGAATAAACTATCTGTTGACGGAGATGTGCCGGCGATCACATCATATTTCCTAAGCCTTTCCTCGTATTTCGTTCGCGGAGTGGAAGACAACGTATGTGTAATCGTCATAGAATTCCCAATCGTCTTCCCACAACCGTCAACGGTAGTTAGAGACAACTCTGACCCCTTGAGATGATCTCGAGCGTCTAATCTCTCAGGACTTGGACATGGATGGATTCGATGAAGAGTTTCTCTTAGAGCAGACTAACGTCTTTAGGCGGGAAGCAAAGAGGCGGGTGGTCATTGAATGCTTTAGTAGAAATAGAAATTATATTTTAGAAGAAAATGCAATAACATTCTCTTATTACCTTTTTTCGCGTATAGGGCAACTCGGTCCACGTGTGCATCCTGCTTCAGAAGGTGCAACTACCTTTATCTGAGGGGGGGGTCAGCATTTTAGCTGAATCCCGAATTTTTATCCCCCAAAGGTTGGTAGTCCTGGGGGTATAAATTATGATGATTATGGTAAGGAATAAAAGGACGGCACACACATATAGACATACACAAATATACTCATACCTGAGGCGGGACCCGCACCCGCGGTCGTCGAAGCAAAATAGTTTCGAAGTTACAATTATTCAATATTCAGGAAAATCGCGAAATCCCTATTCGGATTACTTCACAAAAATTGTATTAATAAAGTCATTTTAAAAGAAAAATAGTGACATTTTAAAGCTTAGGCTCAGGCTTTTCGGATGTTTTTATAAACTATTTTTTCCAATTTAACCCATACATATTTTAAAATATAGTCATAAAAAAGCATCTTTTAAAATATTGCCAGTTACATTTTGTACGTCAATTTATAATACAACAGTATAAAAAGCTTCAATTCGAAATGAGAATGGAATCATGAGTTACAAAAGGCTGAAACTCATCATATCCTGTATACCACTTCGTTCAAGAGTCGTGTCTCGCAACAGGCAAGACGCGGTAAGTGAATATAATGGGAAATAAAGGATGAGGAAAGATACATCACGTGCGATTCAAGATTCGTTTGTTATGGTGCTGCTCTAGCATTCATCTAGATTCAATAAATCAAAGAGACCGATCAGAGCAACCGGCCGCTGGAATTCTTCCCAAGATGGAAGAAGAATTCGACCTAGTTAGCTGTGATGTCGAAAATCCGCCATCGTTGGGACTCGAATCATAGCACCCCTTGCTCAGCCACAGCAGTGGTATCATCTCTTGCCCTGAGCGATCTGAACCTGAACTGCACTGATCGATAGTTTTCCCTGGTTTCTCCGATCAATACTAGGCGAATGCCGGAGCAGAACCCTACGAAACGAGCCATGGGCCGCGCGTGATATTTCCTTCCCCCTCCTTACACCCACTACACTACCACACATTCCAGGAGACCGGTGGGGAGTTTAAACTGAGGCGCTGTCCAGCTGGTGGGAGATACCTGGCCGGGGAAACCCCTCTAGGCGACGCTAGATCGGCGGCGATTCTCTCCATCCAGCGTGGCAAGATCGCAGCCACCCCTGTGGAAAAATATCCACTACACTTATGGGACTAATGACCTCAACAGTTGACTCGTCCGGAATTGTTAGTAATCCATTATTCAATCCCGTTCCATCTGGGAAGGAACACCACCTCTTTCCCGGAATAACATGCACTACACCCATGGGGATAACGGCGCGTCCGAAAATCCGACATACTGAATCAATCAACAGCCAGCGCCGGGACTCGAACCCTCGCAGTCAAAAACGCTGCAGAGACAACCCACGTTGCCTTCTAGGAATCGCAAGCGTGTGGAGCGTGTGTGCGGAGCAGCTGTCGAAGACTGTACCTTCCCGGTTGATCGGTTGTCTTGAAGCGAAGCCTTTTCTTTCCCCATTCTTTCCCCTCCGCCTCCTCGGGCGCTCCCGCTCTTGGGCGACCGCTCGAATTCCACGGAGAGCGGGGCGGGGCGCGGGGCGGTGGGCGAGAGGAGCTTTCAATATCGCCCCCGGCAGGTGGGCGCCGCCCGCCCGCCCGCGCCCTGCCGCCCCCCTGGCCCGTCGCCATAGCTACGCCCTCCGCCCCCGTGCCCCGCTTCATCTGCATGCGGCAGCGCCAGCGCGGTCCCCGCGCAGCAGCCCGCATATTAAATATCACTCGGCTCCGTCCCCGCCCCGCCCCGCCAGGGGTCGCCGCCGCCGCCGGGCGCTTTCTGTTTGCAGCGGAGCGGAAAGCTTCGGGCGGGGACGAGGAGGAAGTGATGGAGAGGAGGAGGACAAAGGGGAGGTGAAGTTAAGGGACGAAGGAGAAGGAAGTAAAAGATGGGGTGGAGGTGTAAGTGGAGGAGGACAAGGTGGATGTGGAGATGGAGGAAGAAGAGAACGTGAAGAATGGAGAGGGGAAGAAGAAGAATGTCGATGAAGCGGTGGAGTTGGAAGAAGTGGAGTAGACGAGATAGGAGGTGGAGAAGGAAGAGTTGGAGATGGAGAGAAAGTGGGAAGTGGAAGATGTGGAGGAGAAAGAACTGGAGGAGGCGTTGGAGATGTGGGAGGAAGTGGAAGAGAGGGAAAGGTGGACTGGGAGGAGGTGGAGAAAAAAAAGGGGTGAAGAGGGAAGAAGTAAAGAAGGGATAAAAAAGTGGGGGAGATGGTGGGGAGGAGGAAGAGTAGGAAGTGGGTGTGGAGACGAAGAACGGCAGAAGTGAAGAAGGAGGTGGAAAGGAAGATAGAGGAAGAGGTGAAGAAGGAGCTAGAGAAGAGGAGGGAAAACGACGTGGGCGAGAAAAGAGTGAACAAGTTTAAACGACGATTGCAAAGGAGTGACGTGGCCACGTAGGAGATATAACAATGTGCTTGATACGATACAGGTGTCTCAGAATATATATCTCAAACTACTAGAATTTGTAGTGGGAACCGAATTTGACCAGTTTTTGCCAAAGAACATTTGATGTCAAATCTCATAGAACGAAGTACATACACTGCTTGGTAGGTGCACGCCAAATACATTTCATGAACCTTTCTAAGACGGGATTCCCGGCTTTAGTCAATGGTTATGAAGAAGTCACAGATATCAATCAAAATTTTAGTAAGTCGTTAGTCCAGTATGTGTAGTGCATGTTACATCCCGGGTCGTTGCATTCCTCCTCACTGGATGGTGCGACTGTAGGTCGGATTGTTGGAGAATCTCTTCTCAAGATATCCCAACCACAGGGCGAGATCCTTAACCGGGGCATGCTCTAAGATCCCGAATAGTCTCCCGACATGTAGTAGTATAGTGCATGTGAGTGTGTATGCAAGTAAGGGATGATTATAGTACAAGGAAGAGAAAGGGCCAGTTCGTGACTCGTTTGTTAGAGTAGTGCTCCGGAATTTCCCTGGTGTTTATAGAAGAAAAATGTCTGGTTAGAAGAGCCGATCGCTAGAATTCTCGTCCATACAGCGGCAATGGGTAAATGACATGCTTTGACAGTCCCTGTCAGTGTTTTCTCGCCGCCGACCTCCCGTCAACGTATTAAGAGGCTTGTAGATGGGTGCGAGAGTGAGAGGTACAGTGCAACGATCAAGTGATGCCACGTAATTGGCTCCCTGTGCATGAGGCACAATTAAGCTAAAAAAAACCTAACACTGAACATATGACCACACATCGTGAATGAAGTAGAGGCATTTTTAATCCCAGCGAGATGCGATGATTAAGTATGTGGACATTGAAGTGATGAATTAAGTTTTCAGTGTGTGTGGAGGTTTTTATTTTACGCAGTTGGCTTATAAATAAAACAAATGAAGCACTTCCTCTTTGCAGATGGAGATGGAGAGGCCTTAGAGGAAAAGAAAAAGAAGACGAAGATCTGGTGAAGAGGAACGTGACATAGTGAAATGGTGGCGGGAACATTATGACAGGACCATTACTCAATATTACAGGAGCACAAACTGATAGTTACAATGGATGAATCGTGTAGTAGAAAGCCTTCAGAGGAACTTGTCTTAGTAACCGTAGTAGAAGTGAAACATTCCAATCTTTCATTCTCCACCCCTCTGACTGCACGTCAAAGAGTTGGCGAGTTGGGGTGTGGGTGTCAGAGAGGATGGGCCTATGTAGCGGTGAACTGTTACCGTCCCATTGGCGCCCTGTGTGTGTGTGTGGAGTGCAATCATGCACAACGAGCATCAACAGTCACCTACATCAAACGCATGACGATATCTCGTTGAACGCTAGGGGAGGGGGAGGAAGAAGTATCCATCGGCTGACAATGGTTATGAAGGCGGCGTAAGGGTCAGTGAGACAAATGGAAGGAAAAGCTCCTGAAAGAGAGCTCTCAGGGGTGGAGGGTTAGATACACCGTAGAACAGATTGTCTAATTGATTTCATAGTTTGGTTGGTAGGACGCAGACGACGGTCTGTACATGTTGTGTGTGTGTATATATATACAAGGTGTACAACTTTGCTTCCGCCGTTTTTCAATAGTTGGCTACAGTGGTAAGTAACGGTCGCGATAAACAGATTGCAGACGTCAGTCAGTATATATATATATATATATATATATATATATATATATATATATATATATATTGTCTGTTTAAATTGGAATATTGTGTACTAAATGGTAAGATTGTTAAATGCGCCTTAAATCTACCTATTGCATATCCGAAAACGGTTGTATAAGTATATGAAATAGATATGGTTTGGTTTGGTAGTCTGGAGTTTGAGGTTGGAAGAAGGGATATATAAAATCAGTGTACCTGTTCAAAAGAATGAGGAAATTCGATTGTACAACTAAATACAATAGTTTAGACTTATATTCTATTTGCAGTGGAGATATCCTCGAAAGGGGTTTTGGGAGAATACCATAAATGCCATTCCCAAATCAGAATATATTAGCAATTATCTTTTGATGAAGGGGAAATCAGAAGTATGGAAATATAAGTTATAGAAACGCAGTATGAAATAAATCAAATTTGAATATTATAACCTCACAATCACCCACTTTTCCACTGTGTGTGAAGTATTCTCCCAGACGTAAATGTACAGCTTGTCCTCCCCTCTTAAAATGTTACTATTCTAAATGTATGTAAATTAAGTGGTTAGGCGGAAGAGCAGGCCCTGTGGCCTGAGCCTCGCCATTAATAAAGACATTATTATTATTATTATTATTATTATTATTCTCAGCTAAAAAATAATACACGTACATTAGTTGATATGTCCACCAAGTAGAAAACCAAGTTGATGCATTGTCGTTGACTTAGACAAAAAACAAGTGTTAAGATTCCACGTCGTGCAAGATCGACCATACACGATAGTATGCGAGGTACGGAACGTTCAAGTCGACATCTTTTAAGAGCGCCGATTGTCTTCGATTTTACGGATGGAGCCGCACATTCGCTTGCAATGCCCCAATGGTCTTGGCGCTTCCATTTTCTTCCGCCGACGCTGCTCGCGGAAAGCAGAGCCCCAGCCGCAAAGCCTGGATTAGGAGCGGGCTGCTTCAACGGAGGGGCCTTGCGGAATCCGAATCTCGGGAAGCTGAGGCCACCGCAGCTGTGGCACGACGAGAACCATGAGGAGTATGTACGAGATAAGATTCTTCCCCGTTTGGCATTGTAATACTCTTTATTTCGTTTTTTCTACGATTGGAAAGTGAAGCCATGATTCCGGAGGTTTCGAAAGTTCGCGAAGTATCTGTTAAGAATGGTTCTTCTCCTTTTGGCATTGCACTACTCTTATTTCGTTTATTCTACGATTGGAAGAAGAAGCCATGATTCCGGAGGTTTCGAAAATTTGCGAAGTATCTGTTAGTAATAGTTCTTCTCCTTTTGGCATTGTACTACTCTTCATTTCATTTATTCTACGATCGGAAAGAGAAGCCATGATTCCGGAGGTTTCGAAAATTTGCGAAGTATCTGTTAAGAATGGTTCTTCTCCTTTTGGCATTGCATTACTCTTTTATTTCGTTTATTCTACGATTGGAAAGAGAAGCCATGATTCCGGAGGTTTCGAAAACTCGCGAAGTTTCTATTAATATCGGTTCTTCTCCTTTTGGCATTGCACTACTCTTTATTTCGTTTATTCTACAACTGGAAGGAGAAGCCATGATTCCGGAGGTTTAGAAAATTCGCGATATTTCTATTAATAATGGTAAAAGTTCTAAGAGCTGCGTTGATTGCTAGATAATTTCGTGTTTCGAGCGCGTCAACTGCTATTGTTATTAGTTTCGTGACTGTAGAACATGTTTTTATCATATAAGTTGGCAGTTATCTTCCCCGCTCAATGGTAAGATGCGGCGCAGACAGATCCTCTAGAAATCGTTTAAAATCAAGAAAAATGAAATAGTTTCGATTTGGACTGAAAAATGCTAGTATTTTATTGAGTATTCCGCGCTCTTTTACTACTCTCCGAATGAATTCCCATGCCGTCTCTGTGCTGTTGGTTCAGCTGACGTCATGCGACAGCACTGCTCCAAGGTAGAGTGTGTCCGTTATTAAATATTTGCTAATCACGTGTTGCGTTATGGAACAGCCACGTTTTTGATATTCATGATATATAATGAACAGTTGAAGAGTACGAGCTGTACTCGTGTATTGAATTGAAGTGATGCCTTATTTTACGTGGAGAGACTCGCGCCATCAGGCCCGCTCTTCCGTCTGACCACGCAAATTTCGCTACGCTCCTTTCACCAACGAGCAGAGAAAGGCGGTATTTCTTGGGCGATGAAACGGGCAATTTGAATTTAGCTCAGAGGCGTCATTTAGGCTTGAGGACTTTTACATGCAAGTAACTCTACTAACATGGAACAGACGGCTTTACTTCCCCTCCGAAGAAAGGGATTTTTTTCGCCCTTAAAAATCCACGGCTTCGATCGGGTTTGAACCCGCCAACTTGGGTACAACAGTCCAGTACGCTAACCGTTACGTTAACCTCACCATCTGTGTATTAACTCTTCTATGTAAAAAAAATTCGTGTACAGTTTCTATTGAAACATTTATTTCGATGCAGTGTTATACGAGAGTATCGCATCATGCGTGCTATTTTTTAGAAAACCATTTTGTGCAGCATTTTTGCTAACTCAGGCCACCATTTTCCACTTAATTAAATACGAACCTTCCACACGTGTTTCACTTATATGTAAGATTTAGGTGTTTGTTGCCAAAACC